GATTTTATCATCACTTTCCGCGATTTTATCCTCATTTTTCCTCATTTCAAAAATACGAGAATAACGATAATTTTTAAAAATTTACGAAAAATTACGGGAATTACATTAAAGTACGTTAAATATGAAACATTATGAGAATTGCAAACAGTTACGAGAATTACGGAACATGACGAGAATCACGGAATAACAAAAAATTGCGGGAATTACAAAAATTATGGGAATTGCCAAATATTACACAAAAGAATTACAAAGTTACTCCAAAATTACGTCAATTATTTAAATATTACTAATTTTTGAAAAGTTACGAAAACTAACAAGACAAATTACGGGAATTACGAAAAATAATGGGAATTATAAAAATTTACGGAACTAAGTAAAATGACGGAAATGACGAAAATTTACGGGAATTAAGGAAAATACGAAAAACTACGAAAATTACAAAAGTTACGGGTATTACGAAATATTACGGGAAAGAATTACAAAGTTATTCCAAAATTACGTGAATTACGGTAATTCCCAAAATAACGAAAATCACAAGTTTTTGAAATTACGAAAATTACAATAACTTAGGGAGAATTAGAAAATTCCGAATTTTTTTGGAAATTAGGAAAGTTGAAAATTAAAAAATTGAAAATACAAATAATTACTAAAGTTACGAAAACATCACGATGGGAAAAGCGCGAAAAATTGCGGGAATAACGAAAATTACCAAGTTTTCCAAAAATTGAAAAAAATAAGGGGAAATTAGAAAATAACAAGAATTATCTGAGAAATGACAGGAATTAAAAAAAATCAAAAATCCCCAAAAAAAAAATACGGAAATTACCAACTTTCGAAAATCTCAAAAACTTATGAGAAATTAAGGAAATTAAAAAATTACGAAAATAATGGGAATTACGAAAATTTCTAATTTTTCGAAAATTGTAAAAACTAAAGGGGGTATTATGAAAATAACGAGAATTATCTGAAAAATGACAGGAATACAAAATTTAGAATTTTCCCAAAATAAAATACGAAAATTACGAGAATTACATAATTTCGGAATTATGAAAATAACGGAGTTTGCTGCGAAATTACAGAAATTAAAAAATTACGGAAATCTGAAAACTACAGGAATTTTTCAAAAATTATGAAAAATACGAAAAAATCACGAAAATTAAAAAATTGTGACAATTTTCAAAAAAATTACGAAAATAACAAGAATTACAAAAAGTTACGGGATTCACGAATTTTCCGAAAATTGCAAAAACTAAGGGAGAATTATGAAATTAACGAGAATTTTTTGAGGAATGACGGGAATTTGAAAATTTTCGAAAATTCCAAGAAAAAAAAAATTACGGGAATTACCAATTTTTGAGAATCACAACAAACTTGGAGGAAATTATAAAGATAACGAAGTTTTTTGAGAAATTACGGTAATTACAAAATTACGAAAATTTGAGGAACTACAGGAAATATAAAAATTGAAAGAAATAAGAAAAAATCACGGGAATTGCGAAAAAATTACGATAATTTTTGGAAAGTTACGGGATCTATGAAAAAGTTACGGGAATTACGAGAATTACGAGTTTTCCAAGATTTGCACTAAGGAAGAATTATAGAAATAGGAAGAATTATCTGAGAAATTACGGAAATAATGAAAATTCACAAAAAAAAAATAATAAAATTACGGGAATTACGAATTTTTGAAAATAACAAAAACTTAGGGGGAATTATGAAATAAGTAACTGAATATTTTCAGAAATTACGGAAATTAAAAAATTACGAAAATCTGAGAAACAACAGGAATTATTCAAAAATTACGGGAATTACAGAAAAATTACGATGAATTTTGGAAAGTAACAAAAAATTAAGAAAATTACGAAAAAGTTATGGGATAATTACGAAAATTATGAGTTTTGCGAAAATTGCAAAAACTAAGGAAAAATTATAAAAATAACGAAATTTATTTGAAAAATAACGGCTTTCAACAATTTTTTTTTCGCAATTTTACCTTCACTTTTCCGCAAATTCAAAGTCGAAACTCACTTTCTCGCAATTTCAACAAATTTTTCCGCGAATTTTGCCTCACTTTTCTGTTATTCTTGCCTCATTTTTCAATAAGTATAACCTCATTTTTCCGCGATTTTCGCCTCACATTTGCGCATATTCAACCTAATTTTTCCAAAATCTTTACTTTTGTTTTTCGTATTTATAACCTCATTTTTTCTCGATTATAACCTGGCTTTTCCGCCATTTTTACTCAACTTTATCGCAATTTCAACATTTCCAACCTCATTTTTCCGTAATTTTTACTTCTATTTTTCGTAATTCCAACGTCACTTTCCTGCGATTTTGACACTCACTTTTTCGCAATTTTTGAAAAGTTACGGAAATTACAGAAAATTGCAGGAATTACGAACAATTACTGAAATTATAAAAATAAAGAGAATTACGAAAATTATAGGAATTAAGAATATCACGAATTTTTGAAATTATGAAAATTACAAAACTTGGGAGGAATTTCAAAATAACGAAGTTTTTTAAAAAATTAGGAGAATTAAAAATAGGTACAAAAAATTAAGGGAATTACGAAAAAATTATGATTTTTGAAGTTGTGGGAAAATTACGAAAAAGTTACGGGGAATTACGAAAATTATGAATTTTTCGAAAATGCAAAAACCAAGGGAAAATTGACTTTTTTAAGCAAAATTCATTTTCTTACATTTTATTTTTTCTCTATAAAACTGGCAAAGTGATAATTGTGAAAATTTTTCAGAAAAAAGAGGAAAGTGAGGATCTCATTAAAGCAAAATTTCAAAATTTTCCAGTGAAAAATCACTTCAGAAAAAATTCTGGAAAATTGACTTATTTAAGCAAAATTAAGGAAAATTCATGCTCTCACATTTCAATTTATTTCTGGAAAACTAATTAAGGAAAACTTGAAATTTTTCAAGGAGAAAGAAGAAAATGAGGAGCTCATTAGAGGAAAATTTCAAAATTTTCTAGTGAATCACTCCAAGGAAAGTTCTAGAAAATTGACTTTTTTAAGCAAAATTCATAATTTCACATTTCAATTTTTTTCTGGAAAATTAGCAAAGCAAAAATTGTGAAATTTTGCCAAAAGAAAAAGGAAACTGAGGAACTCATTATAGGAAAATTTCAAAATTTTCCAGTGAAAAATTCTGGAAAATTGACTTTTTCAAGTAAAATCAAAAAAAAATTATCCTTTTACATTTTAATTTTTTCTGAAAAACTGGCAAAGGAAAAATTTCGAAAATTTTCCAGGAAAAAGAAGAAAGTGAGGAGCTCATTATACATATAAAAATTTCGAAATTTTTCAGTGAAAAATCACTCCAGAAGAAATTCAGGAAAACTGACTTTTAAGCAAAATTCATGCTTTTAATTTGAAAATTTTCCAGAAAAAAGGGGAAAGTAAGGATCTCATTAAAGCAAAATTTTCCAGTGAAAAATCACTTCAGGAAAAATTCTGGAAAATTGACTTATTTAAGCAAAATTAAGAAAAATTCACCCTCTTACATTTTAATTTTTTTTCTGGAAAACTAGCAGAGGCAATTTTTGCAGGAGAAAGTGGAAAATGAGAAGCTCATTATATAAAAATTTCAAAATTTTCCAGTAAAAAATCACTCCAGGAAAAAGTCTGGAAAACTAACTTTTAAGCAAAATTCATTCTTTTAATTTTAAATTTTTTCTGGAAAACTGGCAGAAGGAAAATTTCAAAAATTTTCCCGTGAAAAATCACTCTAGGAGAAATTTTATTTATATATTTTCGGATAACTGAATAAATTCTCTTCTAAGTTAAAAAATGTATTACAAAACAATAATTCCGAAGATGCTCTATGAATTAATCTATGAAATAACTTTTTCTCTAAGTTATGACGTCATCGATGACGTAAGTAAAAACCTGCGTGCCGTGCAATGAACTATATGTTCGAAATTTCAGACATAAAAAAACCTATTTTTTTTTTAAAAAGGCAAATGATGACATAAGTACAAATCCTCGTGAAACTAACCTTTTGCGCGTCTCATTTCCTTTCCATCAAATTCCATAAAAAACAAAATGGTGCTGCAGCACCCCTCAAATTTGGAGCCTAGTTGCGCTTATGGAAAACAGTTAAAATTATAGAAATGGATAATGGATATATCATCATTCATAACATGAAATTGAGATGATTCCAAGAAAAATAAGGAGATTTTACATAAAATTACCAAGGTAAGTAACTTTTAATCGACGATCTGTATAGATTCTTAAAATTGTGATGCATTTTGTGAGCTTTCAGACATTAAAAAAATCAGATACGTTATTCTAGAAGGGGTCGCAAATAACACCTAATATATCAACAACTACATTCAATCGCGTTCAACAGTCCACAAAACTATCAATAAATTCAAGGTTCTATAACAAAAAGCTTTCATGAAGCCACCGCCAAGAAAACATACATTCCAAATCAATATTACCAACCTAGCCTTTGGTCGCTGATTAAAAATTACATTATTCCCAAAATAAGCAATAAACAACATAAATCAAATAAGTACCATATTATACCAAATTTGGATAATCTGGGTTAAAGTTGCATATTTTCAGTCGGAAGATTTTTGAATTATAATAATTTAGGTATTAAGGATGATTATTCGGATAAAATTGAATTTTAATAGATATTTACGATGTGGAGTGTCGTAATTATGGTAATCACACGTGAGTCCTACAGTATTTTATGTCTACCAAGGATTTGTCAAAAATTTAAAAAAATTAATTTCAAAATTGAAATACCTTTTTAGTTATAAGCTTGTCTTCTCAAATTTCTCGAATTTAGAAGAAGAACAAGAAGAAGAAGACTCCGGAACAATTTTTCAGTTAGTTCAATTGTATTTTTTCATAGTTATAGGCTTGTTAGTATACTAAATAGAAACAACGTGCTATAAGTAAAAATCAGTAGAATAAAGAGAACTTAACTCACTGAAAATCAGTGGCATAAATAGATCTTATCTCATAGGCTTACCTGTATGACTTCTTGGAGATCAGCCACGTACACAGTTTCAGTGTCCAGCACTTCCTGCAGTACTCGTTGCTCTGGATTAATGGAGGGTTGTTCTTGTTCCGCAATCCCGCTGTCAGCCGAACCTGGAAATAAGACAGCATTTGAGTATTTCTGTTAGAAAAAGTAAATAATGTGCTACATCAAAATAAATATCATATACTTAGCACAATCATTCAACATTTTTTATTCCAAAAGTATTATTCTACCTTGTAAAAATAAAAAGAAATTGATATGAATTGAAAAATTAAAAGTGCATAACACAGACAGGGATTTTGTTGTGGAAACAACCAAACAATCATATTTATTTTTTATGATCATAGTGGCAACGTTGCAAAAAAGCCCCCCGCCGTGAAAAGCTTGGAAAATGGCGCCGTACCAGGCTGTACTGTATCGATCCAGTCTGGTTGTTTTGTCGCTAGGGGAAAAATGCATTCCTTCTCTTTTTCACTTCGCAGTGTGATTTGTGATTTTAGTAGTGTTGGTTTCACTAGCAGTAAATAGTGCGTAAACACGTCTAGCTCTATACAAGTTTGAACCTGCTCACTTTTCTCTAATTATTTAATTATTCCCTCTAGTTGCACCCTTGTGCAGTCTCTCTCTCGCTCTCTAAATAAAAAGACTTATTTTTTTATCTCTCTGGCTGCTGAAAACTCAAGTGATATAATATCGCGTAAAACATTGAGTTAATCACACTCCCCTTTTTTAAGGGCTCTCTACAAATATAAAAACTCTCAACTCCCGAAGATTTCTATTAAGAATAAACTTTATCTTGTGCTCTCAACTAAAATACTAGCGTTCCGCTAATACTGACAATTATTGTTAAATTGACTATTGAGCACTTACAACTAGTGAATTTATACCGATTAGTGAATGTTCACGAATAACTCAAATGCGACTTGTTAACTAACCTGTGAATAATTAAAAGTACTTGAATGTGGTTACAGTATTTATTACTTTATCCAACACATGACAGTTATGACTATTATTATGAATGTCATTTTAGACAAGTAAACTATCAAATAACACACTAGTGTGTTATAATCCATAACTCACTAGTGAGTTATAAATTATAACTCACGTTCATATTTAAAGTAGTATTCTATTTATTTAACACTATTACAAGCAGAATTCACATTGATATTGAAATTAAAGGAAACATTAACGGTTTATTCGAATTTGAAGTCATTGTGAAATTCGTTGCTTCATTGGAACTAGACGCTCCCATATTGGTAGAGCTGCTGAACGCTCCCATATTGGTAGAGCTGCTGATAGTGCTGGAAGATGCCGACGCATAGAATCTTGTATTTTTTGTTGTATTATCTCATAAAAAAACAATTTCTTCTACTTGTTGGATAAAACATTGTATGCCACTCGTGCGTTATGTTTCCTAAGTCACTTGAGAATTTATACCACTCGGCCTGACGGCCTCGTGGTATAAATTTTTCTCGCGTGACTTATTTTCAACATAACACACTAGTACCATAAATAACTATTATTAAACGATTATTTTGGCAACAATAGAGAGATATAAACTGGAAGTGTGTGTGCATTATTTAGCAGTGACGTCCCCATCCCCTTTATGATCCAGTGATCTAGCCCTAAATTAAATGTTGACACCTCATTTAGAGGCCCTAACAGATTTTAAAATAGATACTGGTTCCGAAGTGAATATTTTACCTAGAAAAATATATATAAGATATTTTGCAGAGAAAATAACTGTCATATGTTGGTGCAGTGCAGTTCAATTCTGGAAGCCTATGATGGAGCAAAGTTCAAACCAGTTTGGTAAAGTATTTAAGTTAGAATTTTTGATTGTTGATTTGAATGTTAAACCAATATTAGGATTACCATCTTGTTATAGGTTGAAAATAACAAAAAACACTGGAAGTGTGCAATGGAGGGATTTGTATTTCCATGCCTGGTATGGTATCTACTCTGTAAAAGTGATGTTTTGTTTTGTTTTGTGTAGAGCTTGTTTTTGTGGTATATTTAGTTGTGGTAGGTATGAGATTTTCAGGAAGCAATTGGCACATGAATGGGCTTACAAATAGAGAAATACTCGGAGGAATAATAAAAAAATAGTCTTACCAGGAGTCTTACACAATTTCAAATATTGGTAAAAGATCTAAGAGCTAGTGAAAGAAATGCAAATCGCCAGATACCTAAATGGAATGCTTTACTGCATTGGTGGATATTATTATTGCACTAATATGCAAAAACACAAAGGAAAAACTCTAATTTTAGCACTTTCCACCTTTTGTAAATAAATATGAATAATTATTATTGAAGCTTTTTATTTTTTCAAAGACATTTTGTCCTACAAAACACGATCCAATTTTTTTATGTATACCTAAGTACATAAAACAGCTACTTTATTTATTTTCAATGGAAACTAATGGCACAGCATGCTTTGTGTCTATTATTTCATAAACCAATAATAATAGCTATTTATATAACAAGTACATAAAGTAAGGCTTTATTGTACGAATAATTTTATGGCCGAGCGAGCTTGCGAGCGAGGCTATTAAATAATGAGTCAATAAAGCCTGTTTATGTAAGCGTTATATACATGATTTTATGTACGATTACAACTGATTTTTGTTAGAAATTAAAAAAATGTAATGAAAAAGTTAAATTTGCGTAGGTTTACCTGTTTCACCTTGGCAGGTTGTCAGGACCTGTTTCACCTTGGCAGGTTATCAGGACCTGTTTCAACTTGTCAGGTAGTCCAGGTAGGCAATAAAGTAGCACTTTATTTTACTAGTAAAATAAAGTAGCACTTTATTTTACTAGTACAATAAAGTGCTACTTTATTGACGCAAAACTGTTCTATAAATAGCACTTTATTGGTCAATCGGACATAAAAAATAAAACAAATACACAAGGTTAGAAAGAGGTTCTGTTGTCAATAGGCTTTTTTGGAAACGCTGAACAACCTAAAGCAAGGGCGGTTGAAAGGGGGGGTAGAGGGGGTAATTACCCCCCCCCCCCAGACAAAGATTGTTTTCCATAGGTACATTTGATAATTACAACAAAAGACAAGTTCTACAAAGGAAAGCATTAAAGGCATCATATGAATATGATGTGGCTGACACACAGTACTGACGTATACCTACTACTATACAGTGAGATAGAGGCTATTCCATTTGAAAAAAAAAATAGTTATGGTTGTTTGAAATGTTTGTGTAGAGTATTGAAAACACCCTGTAGAATGTTATCAGATTATTATAGGTCCATGAAGTAAATGTAAGTATGTACTAACAAACTGCAAAAGCTTTAGCTTATAGAATCTCCAATGAATGATGTTGGTTTTTGTTGACACATGTTGCGATTTTTTGAAAAAACATGTAGAATTTCTATAACGATCCATTAAAGTACTAAATATAGGGTGTTCGATTTAAAAATAACAAAGTTGTTTCGCATACCCCATTTACGGAGCACCCTGTATATTTAAAAAAAAATTTAACCAATGCAACTTAGAGAATCAAACAACTTTGTAATTTAATTTATTTTTTTCTTACATCACCCTGTAAGGAGATATCGTCCGATATCGCACTAAGTGGGATACATGCGAAGCGTGTTTTTTAAACGACTTTCGGTTGCAAATTTGCGCGTGGCACCCCAAAAAAAAATTCACCTTCGGCGGTACGTTGGGACACTTGATGATTTTCCCGTCATCCATTATCCTCCCCCCCCCCCCCCCCCCAGAAAATCATGTATGGACCGCCACTGACCTAAAGTGTGTTTTTTTTTCAAAGATAAAAGTCAAAATGACATTATGTTGGCAATACAATGTAAAATTGTCAATGCTTTCAAATTTTTATGTAGAAAAGGCTTGTGTTGACAACATAGTTACTAAATTTTTGACTTGAGGAATTATCTCATCAGTTTCTACTCCATTTGGTGGTTAAAAATTTTTGAGACTACCGTTTGGTTTAAATTTGGCGCCTGAGTATTTTCAGAGAATAAATTGTAAAAATTTTGGGAATATTGAAAATGTTATTATATATTTTGATGATTTATTGGTAGCTTGTAACACTATGGAGGAACATGCTAAGACATTGAGAATGGTGCTACAGAGAGAAGGGTGTGAGATTTAACAAAAATAAGTTGCAATTGAGAAAGTGTAAAATGAAATACATGGGGCATATTTTTAATAGTGAGGGTGTGAAAGTAGATAATGACAAAATTAAGGCCATCAAGGATCCTAAAGCAGCATCCAATAAGAAAGAGTTGCAGAAACTGCTTGGCTTGGTAAAATGTCTCAGAAAGTTTATTCCGAATTTAGGGGAAATTGTAAATCCACTTTGTCAGCTATTTAAAAAAGAAATTGTCTTTCAGTGGTTGGACGTAGGTACATAATAAAGCTCTTGAAGATATGAAACTTGTATTGAATAAAAATACTACATTAAGAAAATTTGCCTACATGAAAGATATTGTTATACAAACAGATGCATCACAACATGGACTTGGATGTTGCCTAATGCAAGACGGTAAACCAGTAGCATTTGCATCGAAAGGCTTTACAGAAACCGAAAAAAACTTGCAATTATTAAAAAAGAACTGTTGGGAATTGTGTATGCTTGTCAAAAATTTAATAATTTTATTTATGGCCGCCCTGTTAAAATTATTACTGATCACAAACCGAATGTAAGTGTTATGAACAAGCAGATATCCTCAATAAACTCGCCCCGATTACACAGGTTGAAGTTAAAATTGTTAAGACATGATTTACAAGTTTGTTATCAACCTAGGCGATATTTATGTATTGCAGATTATTTATCCAGAAATGTAAGTAGTGGAATGGCAAAAGATGAAGAGGATATGAAAGAAATGGTACATTCAGTTGAGAAATATTTGCGAATGAGTGAAAGAAGAAAAAAACAGTTTAGAAAAGAAACCATAAAGGATAAAGTAGGTATTGAGTGAAGTTATCGAATCTTGTTTGAATGGTTAACAAAATGAAAAATATGAAGGAGAACTGGGAATTTTTCACAATTTAAGAGCTGATTTGTATCAAAAAACAATCTCATTTTTTATAATGACAGGGTGGTGGTCAATTATTGCGTAAAAATATGCTGAA